GGCCTAGGAATAGGAGAGCGGTAGAGTGGCCAGGGGCCTGATCAATCAGCTTGACAGGCCGGATCCAGCCCATGGAGACTGTCTTGCCCACCCCTGGGCTAAACAATAGAAACTGATCATTCTTGACTATGGTGTTGCTTTGACTATGGTGTTGAGTGGTGTTGCTTTGAAGGAGTTCATAATGCAATTAGGCAATTTCAGTATTTTGGATATTAGCAGGGGATTTATTACTAAAATTGGTCTGATAATTACTGATCTGGGTGTGTGCAGAAATAGGTTCATTAGCATTGGGAGCAAAGATTTCCCATAAGGCAATGCTTTCCTGCCTTTTGTGTCCTAGAGTTCAGTGCGATTTTTGCTTTAGAATCTCTGTTTTCTATTCTGTATGCTAATGGAGATGCCTTTCTATCCTATATTTGATGCAAATGAGGCTAAGGGTGTGTCCTTACTCCTATCACCCTTGTCCAGAAGGGGTTTAGTTGTGTCTTCCTCTCCCATTTCATTGCTTTTTGTCTCCACTCTGGTTCAAGCAGTTGGGCGGGTTGAGGGGGGAAGTGAGACGGGCTTCGGTGAGTACCATGCCCTGGGTTCCACAAGAACACAGAACTGATAGGTAACATATCTTAGCTATTGTGTTCTTGACAGTGCCATGTGCTTCTTCTATGTGGGAAAATATTTGTTGAGATCTTGATTCTAAAAAGGTGAAGCTTCCACTTATTTGGGGAAGGGAAAGAACAGAAGGGAAGGAACAGAAATTCAAAGTACATTCAAGTTCCACTTTTGGGGGGAAGGAAAGGAGCAGACGGTTAGATTTTAACTAGCAGCTGTACATGGCATTGCTTGGGTCTTTAACTGAAGTAGGGTGGGTTTTTTTAAAATAAATAAAAAATGTATACACTTTATTTCAATGATTGCATTTTTCAAAAATGAAGGCTGGAGTGAGGGGAACTTTCCTGGCTTCTACACTATCCCATATAAATAAATACCTTATACCGTAAAAGGATAACCTTATAAAGAGAGGTTGTATTACATTTCATACCCTAGAGGACACCTTCAACTGCAAGTTATCTTATTTTAATGTTTGGGTCAAGCTTCAGCCTATCAGAATCCGCTAGACCACGGATGTTAGCCGACCAGAGAGTGCTGGACTAGAGAGGTTCAAACTGTATTCGTTATTCATTAGGGTTATTCTTATGGAGGAGGGCTGATAATTCTGTCACTGAACTGTTGTACCACAGCTCTTTTTTTTCCAGAAATAAAATTAGCACCATCTTTAGACCATCCTGAAAGGATAGCCCTACTAGTCTGTCTTCTGTAAACTTAAATTTGTGGAACCATTCCCCTGCTTACGTAAACTCCACCTACATGACATGCTGATCGTAATAGATGATGCAGATGTTCCACTATAACTAGAGAGAGGAGTCTGATTCTTTCCATGGACTCTTGATATTGGCTCCTCCTTGAGTAGGCTCATGTTCCACTGAGTTTTGAGTTTAGCTTAGCTTCTTGATCTGGGGAGGCAGGGGAGTAGTGTTGTCTCCCAATCCCAGTTATAGATGGTGTCAAACTGAGCAGTCACTCACAGATAGTTTTTAACAGTGTGATTGTCTCTCTCCTTTTATGGTGTGTAATAAGCAGTGAGTTAAGAGTGTGAACTTAAAGTATTATCATTCATATCTGAGTTATCCATTTGAGATGAATAGTAAAGGTCACATCTCTTAGAGCTAAGGTTTCTGCAGTTGCAGATAGATATAACCCAAGTATAAATGATGTGGTGTCATTTTTGAAGTTATCTTAGCACTTATTTTTGTTTTTAAATGGAAAACTTGAAGCTTGTCTTAGTGAACAGTACAGCAGTAGTTGTTCACTCTAAGGAGCTGTTAATGTGCATCATCAGGATCTACATGGACAGTTTGTGCATGGCAGGCTAGTCTAGGGTATACAGGCAGTCCCCGGGTTACATACAAGATAGAGACTGTAGGTTTGTTCTTAAGTTGAATCTGTATGTAAGTCGGAACTGGCGTCCAGATTCAGCCGCTGCTGAAACTGACCAGCAGTAGTTGTTCACTCTAAGGAGCTGTTAATGTGCATCATCAGGATCTACATGGACAGTTTGTGCATGGCAGGCTAGTCTAGGGTATACAGGCAGTCCCCGGGTTACATACAAGATAGAGACTGTAGGTTTGTTCTTAAGTTGAATCTGTATGTAAGTCGGAACTGGCGTCCAGATTCAGCCGCTGCTGAAACTGACCACCAGGTCTGACTTACACACAGATTCAACTTAAGAACCCCAAACGTCCCCAAGTCAGCTGCTGCTGAAACTGATCAGCGGCTGATTCCAGGAAGCCCG